GTTTTCTCAGTTCCCACCATATAGCTTGTTTTGAATTTGTCCATCTCCAACAAATCTATGAGAATCATGCAGCTAAAAAACCAAGTTCAGTTAAATCCTCCAAACCATTCATTTTTAATTCAAATGAGCAGTAAATTTAAAACAACACACATCAAGTAAAAAAAAAACTCAAAACCAAATATGAGAAGTCCTGTCTGGGTTTCTTTGAACAAATGATTGATAACAGAACTGTGAGGCTTCTGAAATTAAGCAGGAAAACAGACACTAGGAACTTGGATAAGGAGGCAAAGAAACGAGAGAAGATATAGATGCTTTGATATGAAGGCTAACAAAGGGATGCTTGTGGGATGATAATTATATACTTTTAGAGATTCTGCTTTTGTTGAAATTGTGCTCTGGAGCATTTCAAAAGTCACCTTGTTCAGTATGAAGAATCATTTTAAACTAAATACTGCTTAACTGCAAACTATAACAACCATTTCCTAAATGTGCCAATTTAATACTTTAGGAACCTATATAAAAAATGTGCTGCACTCTCTTGCTCTATTGATAGTTGAGAAAAACCTATAACCCAAAGAGCAGCACTTGATCTAATATTAGTCTTGGTAAAACTGTTGCTTTTAGAATAGATTTGTACGTGAGCTCTTGCTGTGACACCTGAAAGATTAGTTATATGAATGGCCCAAAATAAGTTAAGACCCTCTGTGTCAATAAAATGAAGTTAATTATTGCTAAGGTTTTGAAGTATCATGATAATGATTGAGAATTAGTTTGAAAGAACAATAAAACAGATGGGATGCGACGGTTACCAGGTACTTTGAACTGCAGTTCAATTCCCCATGACCAATCAGAGTGGGTATGGCAAGTTTTTAAGTCTTGAGCAAAGGTGTCATTCTTCAGAGTACCCTGGGGGGTGGGAGGAAAGTGAATACAGAATATGAATGACCTTACACAGTAAACCTTCATGTTGGGGACAGTATGAAGTGATTTGTGGTGGTATTAGAAATCAAGAACCCCTTAGGACAAGAAAAACAAAACAAAAAAAACAGGAAGGAAAAGAGTAGAAAAAGGGACTAAATGTTTTCTGATTCTTTAGTCCTTTTCTATTTAGTAATGGGACAAAACTAACACTATTAGAAGCCAACAACATTTTAAAATTTACAACTTTGACATTTTAGGAATATGTTAAAATCAACCAAATGTTTCTTACCCATTTTGATAAAACATAATTGGCAGGCCTGTCTTAGGTCATGTGTACCTTCTAATGGGTTTCTTCCAATAACTGATGAAGATATTGGTATGTTAGCAGGTGCACTGCTAAAAATATTTGAAAAGTCATTTCTATTTTGACCTACAATTCCCATGTAATTCTCAGATCCAAACAAACTATTAGGACCATTTATCTGCTGAAAGAAAGAAATTTTGTTTACTTGAACTGTCAACCTCATTTTAATATTTCCAGGCATCCATTTTAAGGCTTATTTATTGAAAGCTTTCCGTATAACACAAAACAAATACCACTAAGGGTTTAACTGTGAGCACAGCCGTACACTAAGGCACAAAAAAGAAGGGATGCCAAGAGCTCCTTACCCCAAGCATGGACTACCTACTTATCCCACACTTTAGGGTTGGAGGAACAGCAGTTGTCAAGCTGCTATTCCATCCCATGACGGTAGACTATGAGTGTGCAAATACATGGCTCCAAGCTTCCCAACACATACAATGGCCATCCCAGCTGAACTGGCAGCTGGGAGAAATAAACTTCATGATCTGAAGAGGTAAACAGAGATCCAACTACAATCCTTGGACAAAATCCCTGCTCACAGATTAAGACAGTACTAAACTGTTCCATAGGTGTTGAAAACCCCATTCATCAAAAAGATAAAATATTTCATCAATACTGACCACTTGTGGTCATCTTAAAATTTCCAAAATACATTCTACCAAAGTTTGGCTAATCAAAAAATTGGCTAGGCTTCTAATAAACAGATTGCCTGTCTAAAGCGTACAAAGATACTTACAAATAAAGAGGAACTACTGCTAAGTGCTGGTGCTCCATCTCTCGAAACTGAACTTGACAGATCTAAAGCAATTAAAAAAAAAAATTATTAAAATTTTTCTTTCCCCTCTCTAGCATATCTTACTCTAATAATAATTTTTACCAGCTTTGAAGTAACACAGGTCAAAGTATTTTCCCATTAAGGTGCAAGACATTTGCAATACTCAGAATGAAAACACTAAGGTCTTATCTATACTGCTTCTGCTATGTGCAAAACTACAACTGAGAAGCACCATTTGCTTAGCACACGCTAAATCCTGGAAATGATGCAGCATAATTGGTTTTGAGTAGTCCTTTGCATATAACCCAGTACTGCTTTTTAGGTTGTCTCTGCTATGTTTTCTGTGCATGTTCAGGGCATCTCTAGGATTGCTATGCTGCCTCATTTCTGGGATGGAAGCAAGTAGGTGGGACATGCTTCATGGAAGGGCTCAAGACACTCTGTGAATCAGTACAGACATGCCCTAAACAAATCAATGGAAACTAGTCAATGAGTGGAGCACTTTTAACAACAGTCTCAAGAGACTGGTCTAGAAGAGAAAAGGCAAACAAACAAAAAAAAAAAAAAACAACTGCTCACCTTTGAACCAGAGTAGCTTGGAGAGAATTTATAAACATTTTGCAATATGCCGTCTTCTACAAAGTATATACTGCTACAAGATTTATGTTCAATATAGGGTTTATTTTTCAACTTCAGTCCACTGCCTATTTCCCATTTCTAAGCTGTACAGTACTGTTTTCAGAACTCAATTTTATGAATCACCATTTTGCCCATTTAGGTTGGAACAGTTTAGGTTGCCCATATCTTCTAATTGTTTAAATGTCTTTTCAGTGTGCTCTCTCCATTTGTTGCTCTGCCCCTTTACTTATTCTTACTTTACTCAAAAGTCTTAAATTCCTAGTTCCACCTTGATTTTTAAATGGAACCTGAAATTAAAGTTGCTTCTTTGCTTATGTTCCCCATGTAAACTCTAGCAGTGTTAGTATTTTAGGAAAACCCAGTATACAACCAGCAGAGGAAGCCTAGGAATTTATGCAGATCCTATGAAAAAAAAGCTTATTTTTAAGTTCTCGATGACAGTCTATACTGAGCAAGTATTTTCAATACACTTGAAGACATATCAAATGTTATGCAAACAATTAAACTTTAAAAGGAGTAAAGAAATCTAACATGTTAATGAGCAGACAGCTAACTCATTCATAGACTCCTCCCACCATCTCTCTCTCCTCTGTATAGCTAAACTGATGCAACTTAAGACTCCTTGCCTTACCTCTTTTTGCGTCATTGATTGAAAAATTATTTAAAGTAGAACAAAAATTTTCTAATGAAGAAGCCAAAGGCTGTGAATACATTTCTGAAAAGGAGGCTGTAGCAACAAATCCTGCACCAACTGGTAATGCCCCCAACAAAGGAGTGGAGAATGGTATTTTAGGAGCTACACTAGCTGTTGGAATGGATCCTCTGACTACTGTGGTTTGCTGGAAAAGAAAAAATAATTTTGTTTAGCAAGTATTCAGGCAGGAAAAAAAAGGCTTCCCCTCCCCCCTCCCCCCAAAAACATCAAATGACCTATAAAAACCTAGCTCTCATTAGGGTTTTTGTAGTAATATCACCACTGCAAAAGTAAAGTTCAAATATAGAATACGCGGAACATCAACCCTTATTTTCAAGCCATTTTAGACCCTAATCCTAACAAGATGCCTGCTTATGATTCACTTTATTCACTCTGAACAATCCCATTACCTTCAGTATAAATTAAATATAGGCTTAAGTCTTTGCAGAATTAGAAGCAGAGAGTTTAATTTTAAGCATTTGTAAACGCATAAGGCAAAAGGCAGAAAGTAAGAAGGACTTAAAATCTAGTTAAATTTTAACAACAAAAAAAATGACCTTACAGACTGCTAGCTCTGGAACCAAGAAGCAAGGTAAACGGCCGCCATCAGAGACCTGCAATGCTATGTCTAGATTGCTTCTGGTGCCCAAGTTAGTTCATTTAAAACTTGCTCAATTATCTCTATATTACACTAGTCTGCAGTATAGACTGTGGTCTACCTTCACTCTATCATGGTAGATAAAAGGAGTCACTAGGAAATATAATACAAAAGCTTGTTTCCCAAGACCTTCTTATCTCACTATATTTATTTCAGAAATTTATAAAGCGTTATTTTAAAATACAGAAAAAGTTTAAAATCAAAGTAAGGATTCTAGATAGTGCTGCTTTAAAGAGTAATCAGATCAACAGTACAATTTAGGATTAGTCCAGGGGTTGTCAACCAGGGGTACGTGCGCCAACCCCCCGCCCCACTCGGTGTCTGGCCGCGTCCCCCTCTACCCCTGCATAAAAAAAAGACTGAAAACCCCTGAATTAATCTAATTCCATTCATAGGCAGTACCTGCTTTACAAATACAACCACGTCAAACTGTGAAGTGACACTATACCCTTGCCTTAATTCTTTATTTATATGTTTATGGAACTTCATCTTTATTAATAAGAGGTGTATTGAAATTCTGCCACAATTGTAAAGTAAACATGATGAAAGTCAATGAGAGCTCAGAACTGAGTTAAAAGTACGATGCTATCTCTGAGATCAGACTCTACTGCAGTTCAGACACTGAAAAGAGCAAGTTTGTCTGAAAAAACACTTTCAAGGAAGCAAAACGCAAACATTTACCATTACACTCTCATCTGGGTGAGGTACTAAATCAAGTAGCTCATCAAGTTCTTCTCCAATAATGATATCTCCATCTCCACAATCTAAACATGCTTCTTGCATAGAGAAAGAAACATTTCCTCCATTTGCCAACACTGCAGAAGGCAAAGAACTCTTTTCCACTTGAAGAGACATAACAGAAGATATGGATGGCACAGATACTGAGATCAAGTCATTTGACACTTCAGGAGAAAAGTTTGATGCAGACAAAGAAACAGAGGAAAGTGTCTCTTGCTTATGTTCTGATAAATCTGAAACAGAATTTGGGGACAAAACAAGAACTGTTAGCTAACGTTATTCAAACATTTTCCCACCATATTTAACCTAGCACAATGTTTTATCCCACCTTAAAGAAATGTGAATTAAAATTTGGTTGCTGATACGTTAGAAATTGTTTCTTTTCTGTTTCTATTACCAACAGAATGAAATTCAGTCAAATACAGACAAGAGGAGAAAAAGAACTGTGAACCTGTCACATTACTGTGTTCTTACAGATCATGCTTCCCCTTCCCTTAAATCTTCCTAAATTCAAGAATATTGCATGAAAATAAGCACAAGTCAAGAGCCTGATAAGCAAGGATCCAGGTTTTCCGTTTCCCATGGAGAAATGGAGAAAACCACAGATTCCCTGGTTTTATTGGAGAAAAATGCAGATTTCCCCTTTTATCAGAGAAATCCACAGATTCTCCGCAAAGCCATGCAGTTGGCCACAGGAAGGCAGCGCGGGGCACAGCGGCAGAGTTACAGTGGTGGCCGCAATGTGCAAAACCACCCCCCATCAGAACAGCTGGTGTGTGTGCAGTCCACAGAGGGGCACCCCTGCCCTCACCCCCCTGCCCTGCTCCTGCGAGTGGGCACAGGGGCATGCTACCTCCCGCCCTTCTTGATCTGGCCCCCCCCAGCACCTTCCCTTTCCCCCCACCCTGCCCTGCCCCTTCCTCCCACACACCACCTTCCACCTGCTGGGGTGGATGTCAGTGTCTATGTGTGCGTGTGTCTGCATATCTATGCCTGTGTGTGTGGGGCTGGGGGCAGGATTGAGGGGCACCAGCAGCACTGGGGAGGGATGTAGGGGGCTTTTAATTTTTAATCACAGATTTTGGGTTTTTAAAATCAGAGAAAACCCGGATTCCTGCTGATAAGAGGTTTGCACAGATAGCTTTAATCTGTACTTTTTTTTAAGAACATTGTAATAGTTTAAGAAATCTGAAGGAACAAGTACCTTTCAGATAGCTCAGATGACTGTGCTAGAAAAGTTTAGTTTACCAGTAGAGGAACAAGAAAAAAACAGTAGGCTATTTCAAGGACTAATTTAAGAAAACTATGCATTATATATCTATCTATTGATAGGTTTAAATGAGAAAGTTTAAGCCTCTTTGAGATGGGAATCATAGCAACCTATGAAAGTGTTATAACTAGGGATCCTGGTTTTCTCTGATAAAAAAATAACCAATTCTCTGAGAAAAAAAAATTGCAAATTCTCTGCTAAAAACCCCAAAATACATTATTAAAATTAACACTGCCCCCCAGCCCTGCTGGTGCCCCTCACTTGCCCCCAATGGGTCCCCCAGCCCTGCTGGTGCCCCTCACTGCCCCCACAACAGCCCCCC